AAGAATAAAATGCTCGAAAAACGATGCGGTCGTCCAGATATAATGGAGTTGCGACTAGGTTAATTAGTACTTTTACCTTCATCTTATATTTATCAAGGTTAATCAATATTTTTAATGTTTATTAAAGTCAATCAATGTTTTAACTTTTAAACTTGTAATTATTCATACATTAATACTTTTTGTGAATAAATATTTTCAAAATAATTTTTTTAGCAGTAACTTCAGTTATGGTAAATAAGAAATAAGTTTCGTATATATATATACTATGCAAATTTTTCTTCTCAGTAATTTTTATATGAATTCACTGTCAGTTTTAAATATTTATAAGGTGACTATAAGTGGAAGAAGAATGATTTGACGTATGTAATCGAATCTTATCCAAGTCAACTTTTGCCACATGAAGTTAGGTACCATAAAATTTTTTGATATTTCAACCTTTTATGCTGATAGCACTTAATTACTTTTATAATTCAAAAATTAGCATAAATAAAAACAAGCTAATAAGCTCAATGCTATTCAAACATTTTTTCAATTATGCTGACATGTCATTAAAAAATTTTAATTTGGGGTGCATTCAAATTTGTACATTCAAAAACAGGCAAAGAAAAATCAAATTTGAGAATCAAAATATTTTTTTAAAAATTTTAAAATGCTTTGAAGCAGAGCGACCTCTCATTTAAAAATGCGAAAAAAATCTACTAAATTTTGAAAAAATTTGTATTTAATTCAGAATCTGAATCAAATTTTTATATGCATAAATTAAAAAAATCTTTCAGAGTGCTTTTGAATTTTGAATATGCATATTAAATTTTCTGAATTATTCTATACTTTCTAATTATAAATAAATTGATCATTTTTTAATTATATGAAAAAACAATAAAACATAATAAATTCACATGAACAATTAATTTCAATTTTAGATTACACATTTTATGACTAATAAAAAGACTGTGCATTTATAAATTTTATAAAATGATAATGATGATTTTCAGACAAGTAATTCGAAAAGCATTTGACGTGTGGTCAGACGTGACAGCATTAAAATTGACAGAAGTTTCACGTAGTAGTGACATCACTATTTCGTTTCTACGAGGAAGACACAATGACCCTTGGCCTTTTGATGGGGCAGGTAATTTTTGAACACTACTTATATTATAAACGATTTTTATATATTAATTATCATAAAAGATGTAGTCGTTACTTTATAAACCCTAATAATAATCTCAATGAAAATTAAAATCTGGAAAAATTGTGAAACTCAGATGAGTTCAAATTTTATACTTCTATCTTTCATTAACTTTTTTGCATACTTTTGCTTTCATATTTATGAGATTAGGTGGTGTTTTGGCTCACGCGACATTGCCACCTTCAGGGTTGATTCACTTTGATTTTGATGAAAATTGGTTTTATAAAAGACCTCATGAATTTTCCAGGTAAACAATTAATACTTCTAATATGACAATTCACAAATTCTTTCATAAATTCTTATGTTTTGTTACCAAAAGTTTAAAAAAAAACCAAGAATTTCTGCTAAAAGCGTCATTGAAATTTTAATAAATGAAAATATAAGAATTGACTTCAGAAATTAGTTAATAAAAACTGATTTAATAATTAAATTTGAATGAAATTCAATCAAATAAATATGTCATATCCTTACCATCAAAGTACAATTAAAGCATATCAGTATTTTATGCAACTGAGTGTAGGGTCAAAGTTTAAA